GCAGTGCTATTAACTGCCAAGCCATCCTTCCAAACTCTCATTGAAAAGAATTTAACCATTGGCATCATCAATGCTACCCTAACCAGACTCAATGGAGCAAAGTCCACTTGCTGGCCTTTTTAGTACACATTCATTCACATATTTGTCTGAACCTCAGGATGAGACATACCTAAATTAACAGTAGCTTAAATAGTTGGGTTCTTAAAGAAAACTCAGAGGTAACTAGTTCAGGACTGACATGGCACAAGGTCAATAGTGTCCCAGATCCAGATGTGTTCCAGCTTTCTCTTTATATCCTTAGCACAACACCTTTAAAAAAAATCTCATGTAGCCCAGTCTGGCCTTAAACTTGTGACATTCCCTCTATCTTACTTGTACTGAAATTACAGCTGTATGCTACACGCCTGGCTAGAACTTTTAAAGGTCATTTTATAGCTGCAAATTGGCAACCAGCCATATGTATTCAAGGAAGAATGATGAAAACAAAAGGCAAGATGTTAAAGAGGTAAATAAACTGAGTCTCTAACAGTGATGTGGAGAAGGGGTCTAGAATGTAGGAATTATTAATAAGGTCTGGTATGGAGGAGTCAATGACCCAGGCAAGCTACAGACCAGAATTTAGGGCAGTAGCAATAGGAGCATAATGAATTGGGTAAAATTGCAATACATAAATGGTAAGTAGGCCTGGTTAGTTTGTGTTGTGGGTTTTTACTATTTTGGGGGGCCCGCCACCCAGCTCTCAAATAAATCACACATGGAGCTTGTTCTTAATTATATATGTCCTTAGTTTGGCTTGTTTCTTGCCTGCTTTTCTTAACTTTAACCTGTCTGTCTTTTGCCTCTGGGCTTTTACCTTTCTTTCTGTAAACCTTTCTTTCTTACTCCGTTGCTGGCTGTGTAGCTGGGTGGCTGGCTCCTGATGTCCTCCTTCTCTGGCTACTTCTTTCTCTTCTCCCAGATTTCTCCTATATCTTCTATGCCTGCCAGCCCCACCTATCCCACTCCTGCCTTGCTATTGACTGTTCAGTTCTTTATTAGACCATCAGGTGTTTTAGACAGGAACAGTAACACAGCTTCACAGAGTTAAACAAATGCAACATAAAGTAACACACCTTAAAATAATATTCCTCAACGAGTTTGTAGATAAGAGGGAGTAGAATAAAAAGAGTTGATTTCCAGGTTTTATAAACCTGGCTTTATAATAAAATAAAATAAAATGGCAGGAAAGCAGTTGTAGAGAGATTTGTACACTTTTGAGTTCAGGGACATAGAGATACCTAGCAGTAGACTAGATTCGAATATGAAGATGAGGTTGGAATGTGCAAATCTTTTGTGAACACATACTCCCAAGGTAATAATAAAGTAGCGTGGATGTACTAGTCTTCAAGGGCAACAACTCAGTCTACCTGATGTCTTGGGGATACTATTACTGTGATGAAACACAAATGCAAATTGGGGAGGAAAGAGTTTATTTGGCTTACACTACCATATATTCTCATTGTAGGAAGTCAGGACAGGAACTCAAGCAGGGCAGGGACCTGGAGGGGTGCTGCTCACTGGCTTGTTCCTCATGGCTTGCTCAGCCTGCTTTCTTATAAAACCCAGGACCACCAGCCCAGGAATGACCCCACCCAAAATGGGCTGGGTGCTCCCCCACCAATCTAATTTAAAAAATTCTCTACAGGCTTGCCTGCAGCCCAGTCTATGGAGGCAATTTATCAATTGGGGTGGGTTCGCTCTCAGATGACCCTAGCCTGTGTCAAGTTAACGTAAAATTAGCCAGCACACCGGGGAACATTCTGTTGTTAGGGAGGAGGCAAAAAGAATCTCAAAATTGAAGTCAAGAGATTGGTAGCAAAAATACTTGGGGTTTCAGAATTTAAGAGCATTGAATTCTAAAAGGAGAGAATAGAAATATACTATATAATATATAGATATACTAGGCAATGCATGCAAGACAAGGAAACGGCTTTGGATGCAGGCACACTATCAAAGCACTCCTGACTCAAGTCACACTCGCAGAGAGAAAAACCAGGATCTGGGTACTGGCGATCCTGGAACTCGGCAGAGGATCACGATAAAAGGCACATGCCAAAGGCTTTCTGATTATCCTTCAGGATGCTATCTATGGTTTCACTCCCTGCTAGTGACTGGCTAGCAGGTGTTTCTTCCCCCAGCCCCTGTGTTGTACAGGGCCATCCTCCAAGTCAAATGCTTCCATCTGTAGTTCAGTCATGCTTGTTTACCAAAGATCATCCAGTTGGTCCCTGTTGACAGTTTACAGCTCCTCGGAGAGGGGTGGGGAGGGTCACAGAGCCTCACCTGACTATCCAGTGGATGCCATTTCACCTGTTAGGCAATGCCTCCCTAACAGCATGTGGCTTCAGGGAGGGCTGGACTATTGGAGCTTAGGAAGACCAGGGAAGGGAGCCCTTTGTGTGTCTGAGAAAAAGACACCATCTCTGCTAGGTAATGACTTTCCAGTGTGTGTGTGTGTGGGGGGGGGGGCAGAGGGAGCATCCACACTCCTGAAGAAAACCTGTGCTCTGTAAGAAAACTGAATGAACTCATAGGTTCATCAGAGTCAACTTTGGTGAATTTGTGCCTAGGTTTGTCATCGAGATTTTAGGAGGAGCATAGATGTTGCTCAAGATCACCCCACCCTAGAAACCTGGAAGGATTTATTTATTGGTAAACCTTTCAAATTTCCAGAGCAGAGAAAGGGCCCAGAACTGGGAAGATGACCTGCTTTAAGAGGGATTGGGTTTGTGGGATGTCCTACCTGGTGATTCACCCACTCTTCCTGTTTCTTTTGGTCAAAAGGTGTCCATATGCTTCTTCTACAGCAGAGTTTGAAGCTCAGTCTCTGTTATTGCTGATAGGCTAGGAGAAGAGTGGATGTCCCAACCCCCTTTGTTCTTTAGGATATGGCAGGTACAGAGAGACCTACCACATGCCAGGGGGAACGGGCCATGTTTTGGAGGAATAGATACTACTGGGGGAAAAAACAACAAATAAATGAGAATTTGCTTCCTATTGCTGAGGACAGAAAGCCTTAAAAGTCAAAACTCTCTAACTGGATCATTGCTTCATTTCTCCCATCCGGACTGATGGTCTAACTTGGATTTAATCCCATGTATGCCTCCCTTTCCAACTCAGCAGAAAGCGGACCTGAGATGCTACAGCTTCCCAGACCGATGCTCAAAGAGTACCTCCTGTTCCTCTAGGAGGCCAGCCTCTTGGAGTGTTTACTCTTTTTTAAATTATTGTTCCTGTTGCTTCTTTACTGGATGTGACTCGTCCCAAATGATAAATGGCAACTTCATATTACAACTTCACGTGAAAGGCCTAAGCGGTAGTTTTGGAGTTTGGGTACCTGACCAGTCCACAAAAGTTTTCAAACGCACGACAGAATTTTGTCTTGATTCCAAAGAAAACACTGGGCAGCTGTGTTTGAAGAATATTTGGAGGTTGTCCAAACCTGAGAGCAGGAGCAAGCCACCGCTGAAAGGGCCTGGAAAGATGCCCATGACGGACCAAGAGGGAGCTCAGAGCATTAGCAAACATGGGCACAAAAACATTTTAGGGAGTAATTTTTTTTTTTTTTTTTCCCAGAAAGGAAAGATCAGAAGCCGTTTGGGGTAAGGAATCAGAGGGAGACGCACGCCTTTTCTGTCCCCTGGGTTTTGAGAGTCTAGTCCTGGCTGCCAAGCTCTCTGCAGTGGCAGAGGCTGTGACCGGAATAGCTGCTGCAGGGGAAGGGGGGTGTAGTCATCAGTTCTTGGGCGTGGCCTGAGGAGCTTGGTAGCTGTCCCGCAGAGGGGCGGAGCCGAGCGCCTACTGCGTAGAAAAGCCTCCGCCGCTGAGTAACCGCAGTAGCAGGTTCTAGCGGACAGCGAGGTGGCCGGTAAGCAAGGGAGCAGAAGTCGGCTGTAACCGAGACTGGGGTGGGAGGTGGGGATGGGTGCTGGTGGTGGTGCGTGCTTCGGCAGCGCATGCGCCTTTGTTCCTTCTCCCTCGGGAGGCCTCTCCCAGGCTTGTAGCTCGGGATACCTCTCCCCCGCTTGTAGCCCCGCCAGCCTTCTTTATTATAGTGAAGATATCCTACCGCAGGCCGGCTCCCGAAAGCCCGCGCTCTGCTTCCCACGCACGGTCCAGGAGCTCGGCATTCCCTCGGCACCTGCCTTCGGGACGCCTCCCGCGCCACTCAGAAGGCAGCCGCAGGGGAGTCGAGGGGGGTAACCTCAGCCTCGACTACTTACTGCCTTTCTTTCTTCTAGCCGAGGTCCAAATTTGAACTTGCTTTAGCAGGTATTTTTGGTGCATGGGCCGGTGCCACCCTTCAGTCTGAGGGCGGACTTTGAAAAGAACCTTAGGCAGTGTGAGTGTCCTTTGTTTTTGTTCGTAGGTAGTCGAAGCAAGCTATTTAACCTTGTTTTCTCATCAGTAAAGGGGAAAGCCTTACTTCACAGGGAGGTAGTGAGCACTAAGGTCACTCACGGAAAAGCTCAGGTTGGCCTCCGGGAATGTGGAAAACAGCAATTGTTAAGGAGTCCCCAACCCCAGGGCCGCCTTTTCGCCACTTCTCCAGAGCAGACACAGACATCAGAATGTCAGTCGAGGGCACTCGCAACATTTGCTGCCAACAGTCTGGGGAGGCTAAGAGAGTTACCTTGTTATGCACCACACGTACTTGTTTGGCATGTACTTTGCTGTACATGGAAAACCTTCCGTTTCATTGGGCAGGCTGAAAGAGAAAAACCCAACTCAAACGGATTTTAGAGTGAGAATACCGGGAAGAGCCAGGGACTTGGAGTCCTGGAACAAATTGCAAAGAGGGAGGCCGTTGTAGGTGAAATTGAAGTTCTGTGTGATTTTAAGAGCACCGGGATGCTTCTCCGGGGCCACCAGGTGGCTGGGAGGGGCTTTTCCATTGTGATGGTGGTTTGCTCTTTGTCCCTACCTGCTGATGTAATTACTTTGATCTGAGTAAAGGATCTTTGGGTAGCTGTTGCATGCTTAGCTACTACTGCGTGTCCAAGCTTGTAAGGACATAAAATCGGCACACCCATGAGACTGCTAACACTGGAGTATATTAAACCACTTAGTTCCCAGGCCTTGATAAGTACAAGCAAGATTCATCCAAAGTGACTTTGTGACTATCCTACTGTCTTGGGACAGGTAATTCCATCCCTCTGGCTCTCTATGAACTTTCTATAAAATGATAATGTTGCGGCTTTATTTTTTTATGACATGCTTAGCCTTAAAGTGCATCAGCCCCAAGCTCCTTGGAGTTTCAACTACACCCAGGGCTGAAGATGTCTGTGAATCCTATGGAAACTGATGCTGTTAAAAATCTCTAATCTGGCTAGGGGATGTGGCTCAGTGGTGATGTCTTGTCTGTGTTCCATTCTTAGTATTGTAAAAGTAAACGAAAGAAAAGGAAAGAGGGGAGGGAGAGAAACTCTTATGCGGGTTTTTTGTTTGTTTTTGTTAGCTGCATTTATTTTGGAAGCCAAATTACAATCTCCATCTATGTTCATGGTTCCAAGCTCAAATCTATGCTTGAAATGCTGTCTCACCATTTTCCAGGAATGAGGCTGCTGGTTATAGCAGCTTTGGGGTTTTGTTCTTTTTGTTTGTTTGGATTCGGGGTCTAGCCTTATTGACCAAATGGGTCTAAAACTTGGGTTCCTGTGATCTTCCATCCTCAGCCACCCAAGCAGCTGGGACTATAGGTACATGACATCATGTTTGGCTTTATATTCAGTTTTTATTGCTGCCAAATGGATTTTTTAAAAAAGCCTAATACAACACAAACCTTCCAGTTCCTTCATCTTCCTGGAGTCTGATTGGGGTCAACACTGGAGGCCCCAAGGGTTCTGTGTCCTTACTCATGCAAGTATTGGCAGAGTGAAGCCTTTGTGACTGGAGAATCCAGATCTGATTTCCTTGAGAGGTGTTAGTTAAGGAACATTCTTAGATTCTAGAGGTCATGAATATGCCGTGGCCAAGGGAGCTCTTCCTGTCCTCAAAGTTAACAGTAGTAAGATGAGTTTATCATGTTCTTCATGTCCTGCCTCTGCTTCTGCTCTCCAATTTCTGACAGGTTCTGTTTCCTTCCTCTCCCTTCTGAGGACCCTGTGATTATACTGGGACAGCTGAGTCAGCGACAATAATGTGCATAACCTTCAGGTCATTGAAGGTCCCCACCAGAGCATGCCTGTAGTCACAGGTTTTAGAGGTAGGGTCTGGATAGTTTTCCCGGAACGAGGGGTCACTTCGGCTGCCTGCAACTGCTGCCCTGTAAACTGGCTCGCCTTCACTCTCAGCTGCTTAAGTGCAGGAAGTGATTCCATTTACCTCATATTATTATTGTCAGGATTAACTACATCGTTATGTCAGGGGCACTAACACTAGCACTGGCCTGTAACATTTACCCCCACCCCCCCACACAGCAGTTAAGTAGCAATCAAGCTTAATGGCTTGTGTTTGGTAACAAGTTGCATCCAGCGGTGTAATCATGGACCCTGCAGGACAAGAAGACACTTCTAATTATTTAATTAACACTAACAGCTCATTTTACAGCCCTGCTGAGAGAATCACTTTCAACCCTTGGGCTAGGTCACTGAGATCTGCTGGTCCTCAGTGTGGTCTCTAGGAATATCTGCAGCACTTGGGAACTGGAAATGGGATTACTAAAACGTAGATGATGATCTATGACTACTAAAAAGGAAATGTACAACGTGCAAAATTTCCTGTGGTTTCACATTCTAAAAACAATACTTGGCTAATTATAGAATGCACTTGGGGGGACGGCAGAGAGTAAAGAAAGGATCAGGAAGAACAAAGGATTTATATCTCACTTAACTGTTACTGTCAACATTTTACGGCATTTACAATGCAGCTTCAGGCCAATGGCCATTCTCCTTTCTGACTCGTCACACAGAAGCATTCTGTTCTTGGAAATAGTGGCCTGTCTTGGCATCATTACACAAGGCCATTTCCTTCTTCAACTTCCTTAATCTCCAGCAGCCTTGTCGTAGAAACTGCCAGTGATCATGTGCATCTGGGCAGCACTATTTGGACTCAGGGTGTTATTAATACAGTTTAAGAAGAGGACATGAGCTGCCTATGGTGGTGCACACCTTTAGTCCCAGCACTCAGGAGGCAGACGCAGGTGGATCTCAGTGAGTTTGAGGCCAACCTGGGCTACATAGTAAGGTGTTTTGTTTTTATTTTTGTTTTTGTTTTTTTTTTAAGACAGGGTTTCTCTATGCAGCTCTAGCTGTCCTGGGGCTCACTCTGTAGACCAGGCTGGCCTCAAACTCAAGAGATCTACTTGCCTCCGCCTCCTGAATGCTGGGACCACAGGTGTGTGCCACTACTGCTTGGCTACATACTAAGTTCTAGGTCATCTGGGGCTACATAGTGGAACTCTTGTTAGGAGAGGGGAAAAAGGACAAAAAGATGAGAGGAAACTCAGGGGAGTTGGATAGAGGTGGTAGTGGAAAATACATGGAATAAATTATGAAATTATTGAAGAATAAATTAAATTATTATTATTTTTTAAAGAAACTACTGGTGGCAACCAGCCAGGCATAGGAAGCAAACTAAGAATCTGAGGGTTACCTTAGGTTAGAGCTGAGATGTTCTCATCCACTCCCAACGCTGGGGTGTCTGGTCCCACTCTTCCCTGATGATGCTGGGGTGTCTGGTCCCACTCTTCCCTGATGATGCTGGGGTGTCTGGTCCCACTCTTCCC